GATTGATTCCATATACATGTATATTAAACAGTTAGCTGAAAATCCCACAGTGGACTAATGGAGTTTAAAATGGCTGTCGATACAGTTGCTTGATTTGAGAATGGAGCCAAGAGTCACTATACGGTGCTATTTACCGCTTGAAAGCAATCAAGTAATCAATGTGTACTCAGAGCTGCAAGATGTAGGCTATGACGAACGTTGTTTACAAATGTATATCATATTACACAGTTATTTTAAAGTAAGGAATCATTGTGAAATCAGAGACAGTAACAAAAGTTCATATTTCACATGTCACATTAGTTTAGATGATTATTTATTTTATATATATATATATATATATATATATATATATATATATATACACATGTATATATTTTTAATTAAAGATAATTAAAAAAGAATTGGTTTCTTGAAGATAAATGTACTTACCTTTTGACCAGAATTTTCTTAGTTATTGTTCATCCTTCTGGGGCGCTGGTGGCGCAGTGGTTAGAGCGCGCACCCCATGTATGGAGGCTGTAGTCTTCCAAGTGGGCGGCCTGGGTTCAAATCCGACCTGTGGCTCCTTTTCCACATCTCCATGATTTCCGACTCCATCCACTTTCCTATCTCTCTAATAAAGGCACAAAAAGCCCCAAAAATAAATCTAAAAATCCTTCTTTTATTATTCTGTAAATGGTTTTGTCAGTCCATTGTCAGAAAGGTGAAATATGTCAACTGTTGTATTAATCTTTTAACTATTAATCACACAAAAAAAAGTGAACATTTGCTTTTTTCACATCCTAAATATAATGATTTCATTATTTAATCTGTTTCACTGTTTCACTTTCATGTCAAATCAGCCCGAGAACAATCCAGAAAAACGATTTGGTGGTGACACCTGTTGTCTCCGTTGAGCGCATAGAGCTGTCTTTTAAGAGTTCAAGGGTCTGCTTTGCCCAGAATGATAACACACTCCCTGCTGGATATCAGGGCTGGAGCTGCGTGATTCTCTCTTTGCAGCTGTGTCTCTTTCACAAAGAGTGATGTCTGTTTTTTTTTGTTTTTTTTCACCGTCATTATCACAATCATCACATTATACGTCCTTCTCTGACTCATAATGACTTTAATTGAACCGTAGCCTAAAAAGAAAGACATGTGTGTGATGGATTGGAGTTGAGAGAGGCATTTAGAAGAATTGCCCTGATAATCCTCTGTTTCCTCTCAAATATATGAATAGGTGTTAGGGGGGGTGTTTGTCTATGTGACTTTGTGTGTGCGTATTATCTAAGGGATTAAGAGGCTAATTGTCTGTCTCTCCATAGACTTGACAGCTGACTTTTGCTGTTGCCATTTTGTGCATATTTGGCGAGTTTCATCAGCAGATGAATGCTTCAGCACTCCTTTTTTTTTTTTGTCTCTTATCGACTGTCTCTGGCTCCTGGAAATCAAATTCACGACATGCAACATCTCATGACAGAAACACGCGCGCCGTAAATCTGGCATGCCGGTCACTTTACTTCAGTCACATCTGAAGATTTGAATCGCTTTCACTGCAGCATCGTTCAGCTTTTTTTTTATTAACCCTGACCCTGCAGGAAAGAGGCTCCGTGGTTACATTACAGCAACATCACTCTGCATTATCGACCTACAGCCTCTCTTATTATAGCACAGACGCGGATGTGCTATTGTTATAACCAAGACATATTGAGGAGAACTGTCTGTGCTTCTCTGTGGCTCTGTATTCTGTGTATGCAGGAGGTAATTAGGTCTGAAAATGGCTTTCAGTGTTGCAATTTTCATTTCAATTTTTATCTTGTAACTAAGACTGCTCACATCAAGTTAAGGAAAACCCCAGTGAAGTATTATGCAGCATTTCTGATTTGTAAAGAATGTCCAGCTGAAATAGTAACTTTTAATCCTCATTTCAAGATGTTACAATAACAGAAGAGTTTCTTTTTCAATACATTTCTTCCATGATGTGGATGTTATCTATGCTCAGCCTGTCATTATCAGTCCTTTTCCTGAACACTTAACACATTCTACAGTGTCTGAACTCTTGACAGCTGCAGGCTGCATAAAGACACAGCACTGCACCCTTCACATTGATTCCAAACTCTGCTTTTTCTGGTGGCTTTTACCCACAAGAGGCAAAGTGATCCTTGATTTCTTGAGAACATTTCCTCTCACCACAGAGAGAGAGGTGAATATAGATTTTTTACTGTCTGGGGCTTTAAGGCTGTAAATCTTCTCCTCCTGGCAGTTTTTGTCAGTCTAGTGCCCAATGTCTGTCCTGCTTCCTTCCCAAGGACTTTACAGAAGATGACACTTAGGTCATGCTGTCTGCTTACTGCACCCTTCCCCAGGTCCTTTACTGTTTAATAGCAGAAAGCTTTATAAAGCTAGTCTTAATATCCGTCGGTGTTTATCTTCTTTAAGGTAAAAACTTAGAGCTGAATAGTCCATAGTGGTCTCCTTCTCTCAAAAAGAAAGAAAACAAACAGAAGAAAACTTAATTTGAAAACTCGATGTTTCTCTTAAGCACTTTGGGCGGCTGTGACTTTTCTTTTTGTTTTTATGTTACATTTTCTCCTTTGGTTATTTTTCTCAAGCATCCATTACATCCATTTTGGAAACATTTGCACTCAGAAATGAAAAAAGGTAAACACACAAAATCCAGGCCTTTATGGACTTAACTAACTAACTTTATCTATTACTGTAGCTCGTCTTTTTCCATGTGTTAGATGATGAGTAAATTATGTAATTAAGTCAATGACATGACGTGAAAGATTCGTAGGTTGTCAAGGAAATGTTTTGAAGTGAAGGGAGACTGAATCTTGTGCATGTTGCTGGTCTAACATGAGAAACACTTATAGTGAAGTGGCAGAATTTTGGTCTGGCCCTGAACTAAAAAAAAAAAAAGGAAGAGTTGTCAAAGCTTTATTTTAGGGGAGGCAAAGTGCTGTTTAATTCATCATACAATACAATATGAAACAATATGATATGAAAAGTGATATGTGGCTAACATTAACAGTAATTAAAAACAAGTATGAAAGTGATTCTGCCATAATTAATATATTGCAATCACATACATAATGATACATCATATTTTCTGATTAAGGGAAGAATACAAAATGCCCCTAAAAAGGTCAAGTGTATGATTATTGTATCTGTTCACTGCAATATGGTGTCAGTCTCACCTCTCATCATGCCTCATCGCTTCACTTCTTTTCTCCGCTGTCCGACATCACGACGCTGGCTTGTTCTTCCTTTATCCTGCTGTGAACTTTTTCTTTTTCATGTCATAATCGCCACAGTTGATCAATATATATTATTTTAACATCACAATTACAATATGCTCATGCCCAATTGTCACACTGGAGGGCGTGCAATGTCAGTAAAGTAACCTGCCAGTAATGCTGCCACTTTTGTATTGTTTGATGCAAAACCATCACCAGCCAGTTTTGTCGTTTCCAGAGTCTGTCTGATGTCAGTATCACTCATTGGACGACTGACCCCTGTGCATGCAGAGTCTGTGTGGCCCCTCCATGTAAACATGTATCGGCTTCAGGCGACGCCGCTTCAGTCACAGATACACCAGCATGACCTCAACTACCCATCTGAAGTGAGAGTATTATTAGCAGCACCTCGTCCCGGTGCTCCTTAAAAGCTGTAGCCAAATAAACGGGCTGTTATCGGCGAAAATGGGCCACTGATTGTTCAATTTTAGAGGCTACAACTGCAGCGTGCATGGTGAAGTGTTGTGTGAGTCACCGGCAGCCCAAGACGGTGAGTTTTGTGTAACTAGAATATGTAGGTGATGTGGACTAAAAAATAAACTTTAAACATCGTCAGAAATGGTTGATGATGCCCCGCAACTCTGTGTGTGTGTTAAGAGTTACTGTCAGGGGGCTGGACGGGAGGGGACGAAATCAGAGAATTACTCAGAGATACGAAAAGTCATTGATTGAGATTTTATCAGATAGATGGATCAAAAGACACTGCAATTATCTGATATGATCTGGTATGATGATCCTATTTTCTAAATAAAATAAAATGTCCCAACGACATTTTTTTTTTTACAATACCTTTCAGCCCAGCCCTGTGGAGTAATGCAGTGACATGGTGGGTCATATCCGTTGGGAAATCGAACAAAAGAGAAGTATCCATAGATGGCAACAGCTATCAATTTGCATCATGAGTCAGGGCGACAATATGTTTCCATATTGATACTTTAATATAATTCTACAGACAAAAATATGAATTATGCTCAGTCATAATGACGTTTCTTCACGTGGTTTCCTGTCCACAAATTTTTGTTCACTCACTACCAGATATATGCGTGTGAGACAGCCAGTTAACCTGAGCCTCTCTCTGATGTCACACAAGCAGTGGACGATTGCAGGGCACATCTCCATCGGGGTGGAGCGACTCTTGAGTGAGCAATTCTGGTAACACCTTGAGCCTGGAGCGCTGTCTCTGCAATCACGCTCCCATTGAGGGCAGCCTTTCATCTCGGGCCTTTCACAGAAACCTTTCAGACGCAGAAAGTGAAAGATGGAAAGAGCGAGATCAAGGAAGAAAGAGAAAAGGAAAAGGAGGGAAGTGCTTCTGCAGCCCCGAGCGCTCGTCTCCAATCCTGAGCGTGAATAAGCGTGCTGCCGATGAAGAGTGCAGATGTTGAAAGAATGTATAGTAGTGTGTGTTTGTGTGTGTGTGTAAAGAAGAAAACAAGAGTAAGAGATGCTGTTAGTGGGGCTCTCTCATTGTATGTGTTCACTGTAATATGTCGGCCACTGTATTTAGGCCTCTGCTATACTTTACCTTCACTTTCTCTTATAAACACAATCATTCATAATCACTGAGGCATGAGGTAACTTCTTAGGGAGAATAGTGTCGTACAGTTTCATTACTGTGGAGTACGGTGTATTTCAGAACTCAGTTGGCTGTGGTGGCTCCTCTGTGCTGAGCTGAGGAGGCTTTTGCAGGTGGACTGGATGGATAGAGGGCGTATGCTGGCGATGCAGGGGGAGGGGATATTTGGTGAGGACTACCAGGTGTTCATATCTGATGGGACAGCACTCAGCCAGGTGTTGGTGCTGGGACACAGAGATCCAGCTGCAGAAGGTAAGCTGGTATCCATTCTGCTTGAAATTCCACACCAATCACTTCTTTTGAAAAAAAAAAGCTACCTTTTCAGATCTCCTGCACCGTCACAGAAACATCGATCTCTCCGCCAAGCTTTGCACAAGCCTGCAGGTTTGAACTGCAACAGTGATGTGGAAAACTAGCTCTCTTTTTTTTTTTTTTTTTTTTTTTTTTTTAACTTAAATGCCAAAAACTTTCATCTTTCTTTGTTCCCCATCATCAGGTTTGTTAGCTTTTGCTTTGTGTAGCATTTATCTAAAACAAACAACTGGCAAAGCTTTGTTGCCTCTCATAAATCATTTAGGCCGACTTTGTCTGCCAAGTGGAGCCTGAGAGAACATTTCACACAGTCGTGTGAAACTGTTTTTTGCATTGGGATTCTCTTTGCTCCTGTATTCATACACCTCTCTGTCTCAGTCCTTACACAGTGTTTGCGTGTGTTTGTGTGAATTTTCTCTGTTGCATGTGCAATGGAGCTCATTTGATGTCCTGAAGAATAATCTTTAAGCTTTGTTAAAGGCAAACGAAGGGGAGGCATGTGGAAATTTAAGCTGTGATTGATCATTGAAAAAAGGAATGAGGAAGAGAAGTACAACTTCCTGTTTTCCTCCTTTCCCTTTTAAAGCCACTGTCTGCTATCCTCTCTTTCAAAAGCCAGGATTGTACAGGCAGGGCAGCTAATTAGTCTCCTCCAGCCCATTCAAAGTGTTCAAAAGACTTTGAAGTGAATGAGAACTGGCTAGAGAGTCAGTATCTGGTAGGAAAATGAGAAGGCAGCGATTCTTTCTCCTTCCACTATCATAATAATAAACTGTCAAAAGTTCATCTCTCTGCACCCAACCTCATGATTGGGGATGATATCATACTTTCCCAATATGACCAGATTTAATTTAGTCTTAACCACAGTGATTTCACATAGCAAACATCTGCCAGCGTTTTTTCCCACCGTCTTCTGCATTCACAAGAAAATATGATGGTAATGACTTCCACCTCTGCTGCAAGACAATCAAGCTCTGTTAATTAGATCTGGCGCTATAGCACCCTCAATCAAGAGGAATTCTCTGCAGCTACTGTATAAGCTGTGATAAAAAAAAAAAAAAAAAAAAGTCTGGGTGTGTGCGTGTGTGCACATGTTTGTGTGAAAGTCCTGATTATGTTGATAGAAAGTGATTATGACAATTGTTGATCATGATGAGCAGGTATCAGCTGAATTTTGTCCTCTACTTTAGCTGCAGATAACAAACTAAGCTCATTTAAAAGTTTTGTTACAGTGCTGTGCTTACTGCTTCGTGTTTGCAATATGATAAATATTTATAATTTCCCCCGCTTTTCTGATTGTTTAGCACCTCAAAGATGACAGGGACTGAAACCAAGGAGAGCTAAGTCATATTTCAAAGTTAAATCATAAGTCTGGCAACCTGTCAGCTAATGTTAGACAACAGCCTAATGTTAGCATTCAACAACACGTTACGAAAATTGTGAGTTATTTGTGAACAGCGTCATAGGAAGGCTAACCGTAACATTAGCTAAGAATTATTGTAGTTAAACACTCAGGCTAGCTTTTCTGATTCAGTTGTGCTACATTATGAGTGTTGGTTTACCTTGTAATATGGCCGAATGAACTTCTAAATGTGTCTTTTCAGTTGCTGATCAGTCCATATGCTATTAAAATTGTTACAATGAATCAGATTGAGCTGCCTGCTTGTGATGTTAAAATTATATTTCGATGATTGGTGTAAAAGAATTTGAGGATGGATACAGTTTCTCTCATAAACTTGACTCACATTGCTGTCTATTAAATAATACTGCTGTCATAGTGAAGTAAAAACATTAACATCCAAAAATGTATTGATGTTGAATGTAGCCGGGGGCCAATTTTTCCATGCAGCTAGTATTCATTGATTTGTGAGAAGTGCCTCAATTCTCCGTCAGTTGTCTTCATAGTGATCGACTGAGAAATGTCCCTTTGCTCAGAGAACAAAATGAAGCTGGGCAGAGCTAAATGAAAGAATGATATTTACCCGTGTGTGACAGCAGAGACACGGAATGATTGCGAGACAGTGGGAGAGATGGAAGGAGTGTGCGTGATTGAGATAAGCGACAGATACATGGGGAGCCAGGCAGAAGTCCTCTCCCACACACTGGGATCCCAGAGATACCTCCCGCAGAAACGGTGAAGCACGCTGCCGTTGCACTGTCACGCAAGGACAAATGAAGGACACAGGGGAAGGGAGGGAGAGGGAAAGAGAGAGTGGGGGAGAGAAGGGGGATGGCAAAGAGAATTCAAACTGAACCAGGGAGAGAAAAGATCAAGGGTCTCATTTATAAAACATTTAGAAGAATCCCCACTAAAAGTGTACGGAAGCCAAAAACCTGCAAAATTGCGTGCTCCAAAAATAATTCAGATTTCTAAAAACGTGCAACGCACACCTGCACACAATGTTCCCTTTACAAATCATAATCCACCTGATATTGTGCACAACTGGATCAGCCTCATATTCCGCCCACATTCGACCATGAATGAGCAATGCAGGCACCTCTTGAGAATGAAAATCTCACAAAGAAGCCTGCAGATCAAAACATTCCAGCTGTGAATCACGGCGACAATCAGAAGGACAACGACGAGAAACTTTCTGACCAAGTAACTGAGATGCTTTTAAATGAAGAGGAGGTTAGAAAACACATATTGTTTGTTTGCCACACAGGAAGGTCACAATCTTCAGAACATTTGAGAGTCGCACTACATTGCCTCTGCATTCATACAGTTCTCCTGAGTGCCAAAACATGCTCATGTCAGCCAGCAGTCTCCCTCATTATAACATACTAATAATGGGAAGTTTTGATCGGTTAAAAACAGCTTTTGATTGTTCACCGCATGTTGTTGTGGCTAACTCTGTGTGCTCTATGATTTTGAGGATAATAATGATTGTGTGAGAGATGCCCAGACTTGATTTCCACACTTTCCTCATTTACACAATAATTATGTGCAGGTGATGAAGATATGATGAGTAATGAGAAGGCAAAACAGCTAACAGCACAGTAGTCTTTTTTTTAAAAACAAGGCCATGGTTACACGAAAACGTCCACTGAAAACAGAATTCTTCTTCTTTTTTGTTTTAATAAAAGCTCCATGTTAAGAAGACATCATTTTGATAACAACCACTGTGCACACGGACCTGCAAAAACGTATAAAACCATTGAGAATACATGCCAGGCTGGTAGTTGGCGGTGTGACTTTGTTGTAAAACAGTGCGCATTTGCACATAATCTCCCTTCTTCAGAGCAGTAGGGTGTACATATAGAGCTGGAACCCGTGGAGGAGAAGGGCCACAGCGTCTGAAGACAAGCTTCCAGAAAGTAGATATCCAGTCTGAAACAAGTCAGTCAGACACTCCCTGTGCCTAAAAGCCTGAAAGTTAGAAGACAAAGAAATAATCTTTGTCCGTCTTATATTTCTGATTATTTATCGTCCTCATTCCCTGCTTTCTCCTTACCATTCTCTGCATCACTCTCTCTAGTTTTCGTCACCATGAATTAACTGTTTATTGGTCATGTGACTGCAAGGCGCTCTACTGTATCAGGGTCACTGCTCAAAGAACGTAATCGCTTCATTTATCATTATTTTTAGTAATGCTTGTAGCTTAGCTGTAGGGATGGTTGTGTCGGCTCGTCAATTAGTGAGTTGGTTTGTTTGGTCCTACACTTTGTATTTGAATGACATTTGTCGTCAGACGATGAATTTCCAATGACAAGCTTTTAACATCAAATGTCAAATTAAATGCCATCTTAGCACTCAACTTGATATATTTCAATGTGAAACAGGGCATTGTGAGTCAGGTTTATGCAACAGGACTAAGAGGGATAAACTGTTAACCCTCATCTTTTATTTAATTGGGGCTTTTCAGTCAGTGACAGTTTTCCAGCAAAATTTAACACAATGTTTGCAAGAAATGGAAGTGTTAAAGGATATCGTTAAAAATTTCGGCTGGGTTTATCTGAGTGCATCTTAGTCTGGCTAAGCACAGTTTTGACTTGTGGAAGTTGTCCCAAGTCTGATACTGTAGAGCTGAGCCTTAACAGCTGTATTTAAGATGTCCTTGCAAGACCACCGTACAGATGACAACAACTCAGATAACAGGAGCTGGTCCTCTTGTGCACACTCTCAGTTCAGAACATTTTCTATCCCCACTAGGAGATCTAATAAAAAATGTTTTTTTTTTCTTTTGTCCTGCATCATACATGTCCCCTCATGTCCTCTGAACCCTCTTAGTGCCCATCTTTCTGCTCCTGGTCTTCTGCCTTGTAAATTGTATCTAGTTGTGTGTAAGGCTTTTGGAGCACCTGTAAGATTGGCCTAGATGTTTGGATTTTTGATCCAGCATCATATTTCACTGCCACAACAGTTCACCACAGTCTACACTCTCCCTTGTAGAGGTACAGGCAGGAGACGTTGCATAGACGGCACCCTTGAATTTGCTGCCTCCTGCTGACCTCGTCTGGCGGGTGGGCGGCTCTGAATGTGAAGGAAGGGTCCCATTGGTAAAGGGCTGCGATATCCCCATCACCCCACTCACTGTCCTACGTTCGCACCAAGTGAATCTGGGTCAGACCTTGCGTGACGGACAGTCTGCCATTATCACCACTCAGACACACAAAGGAGGAAGGGCCACGAGCTGGAAAGTGCGAGGGGGCTGGAGAGAAGAGGAAGAGGACAGAGTGCTTTCCTCTTGTTTTGCCCCCTGGCAGGGCAACAGGATTAGATGTCCCACCCCATGGGTGTTCGGTCCTGCATCCCTTTGACACATTCACACTCACACATCCCTTAGAGTAGAGGACTAAGAGCAGACATGCACATAAGATCAAGCGTTGAGCCAGCAGAGTCAGAATGAGTGTTTAATCTTTTGGTTTGGGGTTGGGTTGTTGCAACCAAATGGCCTTGACTTGTAGTGATTCTGCCGGTTACTACACAGGCTCTCGTC